GCATTATCTGGGCAGAAGTACTAGGCTGTCTGTTAAAATATTTATCAGCAGGATTGAGTAGAAGACATTTTGTACCAAATGAAATGAAGTTAAGGGAAAGGATATCAATTTGCACATCTAAACAAATATATCTGTAGCTGTCTGAGAAAACTAATCCTTTCTGGAGAGCTTAGTTTCTTAGGTAACTGACAATTTAATACCAGGAGACAGACAAACTTTACACAAGACATAAAATAAAGTGATGGTGGCCTTTTCAGAAAAGACCTTAAACATACCTTAAATTCACTTGGCACAATTAGTTTTGGTGTATCCACACCTACCAGAGCATCTATTCCACAGAAAATCAGAATGGACAAGATAATGGCAAAGTCACTGATGAGCTTCCTGGCCTGAAACAAAAGACAGAACAACAATAGCTAGTACACTGTAGGAACAACCATTCTTTTTGTGCTTTGGTTCCAATGTGATGCTCCCGCATTTCCCTTGCCATAGAAACAATGGTGCACTTTGTAGTCTGTTGTCATATTTTAAATGTGATCTGGTACTTTATTACACTGTCTGAAAGTCAAACAATTAAGCCTAACTAGAACTGCAAAAATAATCCCCAGGAAACAAGAAAACTTCTTTTGTGGACAACTGCCACAAGAATTTTCCCAAGCTGTCTTACTGATATTCTTCTGTTTTGCAGTAGCCAACAATCCCCAACACAGATGATTACTTACTTTGGAACTGGTTCTGAAAAAGCTACAATACAAACTTGTCAAGGAAAATGGTCTTTTGTTTAGCCAGAGGCTTTCTTAGATAAGACACACTGGAAGACAGAGCGGTGAGAGATTTCCTTTGCGGATCTCCAAGCAGCTTTCTAAATGAGATGCAAGATATTCATGGAGATTAATACACAGTAAGGCCTTTACTGGTAATGCTGTTGATGTCATTTGTCACCTGTCAGTGTTAGATGCAAGCTAGCAGCTAGGATTAATAAGGTTGAGGGACACTGTCTTCATATGGAATGCATCTGGCACTGCTTTCCAAAAGGCCAATAATTTCAAAAAGGAAAAAATGCAACAATAAATAACTTCCACATGCTTGACTGAAATAAATGAGCTACGCTGCCTTTCAAGCAACACATCCAGTCCCTCTTCAGACTATGTGCCTCCTCCTATTCAGCCTGATGCACAACCCAACACATAGAGTTCAAATTTAAGAGAAGAGTCTTGTGAGAGGATCCCAGAACATTGCAGCTCACATTCAAGTGCTGCCAGGTAAGGCATAACCTCCAGCAGACAGGAAACGGATTGTCCAACTTAGACCAGCTTCTTTTCCAAGAAAGGCTTCAATAAGCTGATTGTAGGTTTTGTCTGGATATCTATCCATCAGTTCTTCAGTTTCACTGCACAACAAGTTAATGTTACTCTGGCCCTGCAGTCCTACAGGTATTTTGTAAGGGTGCCAGTAAGCAGGCTGACAAGCTTCACAGCATTCTGCTTTGGAGGAGAGAGGCTTTTCTGTGTATCCTACAGGACAGGACCAAACAATTTATGTGTGGCCTTAAAGTGCAGCTGCAGGGTCAGATTTGAGAAAGAACTTAGGCACATGCTTATGTGCAGCCCTATTCTGGAACGGTGCTTAAGGACATGCATAAGGGCCTGAGTGACTGTAACACTGACTCTCCTTAATGATATTCTGCCCAGGAGAGGGAGGAAATTATTTTGGTCTTTATAAAAAATACTCCAATCGCTTCAAATGAAAATTATACACATAATTAAAAAGGAGAAGCAAGATTGAGGGGAAGAGGGGAAAATAGGTAAAGAAATACAACATGTATCCTGGATTGCTCTATTTCAGAAGGGATAAGGTTATTTATTTATAAATTGCTTCACTGGGTGCAACTATGAGATAGCAAAAAGCCAGGTGGTCCCCAAAAAACTTACTCCAGTTGCCAAATCTGACAAGCACTCATCACTTTGCCTAGCTTCACTATTGCTTTCATCCTGTATGGATGCTGCAAGATTCAAGGAAGACCTTGCATTAATCTTCTCTTATTTGCCCAGTCAAAAAGTCAAAGATCCTTCCAAGTCTACTGATGTATTGGGACCAGTGTGCTTAAGGCACACCAGTTTCTGTAGCTAATGGCACTCCAAAGAGTAGTGCAGCTAGCATCATGTTCTGGCTGCCTGTGACTCCATAACCTGAATGACCAGTTATGACACAATAACTTGCTTCCACCTCTTAAAGGGGGAAGTCATTTCTTTGCCAACATATTGTCTTGTTTCAACATGGAAGAGAACATGCTGAAATTGCCAGTGGTTTCACTGAGACCAAAACAAGCACACACAGAAAGGGTCTGACTGTGAGAGAGCTACCAAGAACCTCCAGCTCTCAAGATGTAGCCTACCAAACTTTAATTATCCGTGTATTTATTTGTACCATCAGTAAATGTGTAATGTCCCATCAAAGAGGTGGAAATACTGCAGAAGACAATGGTGTTTGGAGGACTGTTTGTTAAGCCTTGACTAGCATAAACTACAAGAACATACAGATGCAGCTAGGGAAGTTTAAGTTAGATATAGGACAAACTTTCTCACCAGAAGGATAGTAAAGCAGTGGAACAGGCTGCCGAGACAGGTGGTAGAATCTCCAGGCTTTGAGATTTTTAAGATCCAGCTAGACAAAGCCTTGGCTGGGATGATATAATTGTGGATGGTCCTGTTTTGAGCAGAGGGTTGGACTAGATGACCCCCTGAGGTCCCTTCCAACTCTAATTTTCTATTATTCTATATAAATTTGATTAAAAAAATAAAACCTAATCAACATAGTTCTGTGCATTTCAACAGTGACTTTGCAAGCACTAAGACTTCCAGCCACTTCTTTTTAGATTGAAGGACTAGACCTGTGTGTTGAATTATTAGTGCAACCAAGTTACAGACAGTACTTCTGTGACATTTTCAAACACTGTTGGGAACTGAGCCAATAAACAGGTTCATCTGAAATATGTGGGTTTGCCTTGCTGCCAATCAGATTTGTGTGCATGTGTATATGTTGAAAAGTGGTTTAAAAGTCCTTTGAGACTTCAAGAATAATTATCAACAAGGTGAGGCTTTTATAAGCATATGTATTATTTTTAAAAGCCATCCTATTCACACTGACTTGTATGCTCACACTAATTGACAAGGTTTTCATAATCTACTCCCATCACTGTCAATGATGGGTATTCAAAAATTATGAATCAGTCTCAAAAATCATAAGATTTTAACAAAATAATGAATTTGAGGCTCTTTTGCTTCCTGGTTTCTGGTTCTTTAGGGTTCACGTTTTCATGCATTTCTCTGCTGCCTTCATGTCTAGACACTGTGAAAGCCAGGATTCTCATGCAATGACAAGATTCCCAAGAGTTGGCACTATAAGAAGAAAAATTCCAAATATCCCAGAGGTAAAAACAAAGAAAGGTAGAAAAACTGACTCATTTTCTTAAATATGATTTGATTTGCAATAAAAATGGGATATTTAATGTTTAACTATAAACACAATATAGCAATGAAGATGTCATATCAGACCATAAGCAAAGACAAGGAAATCTGAGGCAGGAACCAAAAAAACGAATCCAATGGCATTTTCAATTCAGATTCAGTAGGAATCTTTAACACTACTCAATTCTTCTTTATGGCATTAAAGCAACAAACAAAACAAGCCACTGAAGTGAAAAGAAAATGAAGACAAATGCTCAATCTGCATGCACTTTAGTAACTCCACTGAAGCCAATGGAACTATGACAACTTGATCCACCTGAGAATCTGATCTCCAAAATCTAGCTAGACAAATTTTGGTCCAATTTTTTATCCTTTTGGTTAACCTTCTCAGAATTGCTTCTGTTGGGCTCCTCAGGGTTTCATAGTTTCATAGTTGTTAGGGGCTGGAAGGGACCTTACAGATCATCGGGTCCACCCCCTCTGCACATGGGCAGGAAGACTGCTGGGATCAGATGACCCTGGCAAAATGGGCATCAAGATGTTTTTTGAAGATTGCCAGGGTGAATGACTGTAGCACCTCTGGGAGGAACCTGTTCCAAACCCTCAGCACACAACTGGTAAAGAAGTTTTTCCTTATGTTTAGCCTGAAGCAATCTTCAATCAGTTTGTGCCCATTATTTTTTGTCCTCTCCTGGGGGGCCTTAGTGAATAAATGCTCCCCCAAGCCCTGATGTATGCCCTTGATATACTTATAGGCTGCCACGAAGTCCCCTCTGAGTCTTCTCTTCTCCAGGCTGAACAGTCCCAAATCCTTCAGCTTTTCCTCATATGACCTGGTCTCTAGGCCTCTAATCATGCATGTGGCCCTCCTTTGGACTCTCTCAAGCTTTTCTACATCCTTTTTGAAGTACGGGTCACATAGGTACAAGAAAATCAAGCTACATTCCAGCCTGAGTGAAATTTGTTTTCTTTTCATTAAAAAGAATAAAAAGTTCCCTTCTAATGTTACATCACTGTAAACGTCAGCCTATCCTAAATTCTAGTGCAGGCAGAATGCCACGGCAGACATTCTCAGCAAAAACCTGTTTTGTTACAGAGAGGAACCTGAAACTAGCATGTCTATTTTCTTTTCAGTCTTAGCTCTTGTGAAATTAGGAAAGGCTGGATCTTGTCAAAGGCAGATGTCACCATCCCATACATTGCAAACTGTGGAGAACTGGGGTAGGACTTTTTCCATGTGTTCCCGTGCCTTCAACTGTTATGACAGGTGTAGCTGGGAAGACAAAACAAGCAGCTTTTGTTGATCCACCTTGGCTCTGTATGAGTTGGCTGCAAGCCTGGTACACAGCCAATTTAAATCAATGGGAAGATCTCCATTGACTGCAATGCATTTTAGATCAGACCCTACAGGAGTAAATGGAATTAGGGCTAATACATGTATACCATGAAATATTCAGGAAGTGCACTGCAGCTAAGTTAATACTATCTACCTAACCTTTACACTGACTTTTTTGATCATTCAAAGTTGGCAACCTTAACATTTGTGAGGCTTCCAGGTTTTCCTCTGAAGACAGAGAGCTGAATGAATCAATAGGTTTATAGGGAATTAGGAGACATAAGACTTCTTAATGCTGTACAAATAACTTCATTTTATTTAGGAAAACTGTTAGATCATGTATTGACTGCACCTCTGTGCCATTTGATAAGGCAATTTGTATTTGTGTGTTTGTGCATACCACACAGGACACTGTGGATCACCATATTATCTATCTATGTGGAGGGAAACAGCACTTAGCCTCACTACCAGGGCATTGAAAATGGCTATTTGAGAATGCTATTGGTTCAGTTATCTGTACTGGTGAATTCTTGATACTTGAAGCAAAAGGGTTGAGGAGACATGTATCAGCAAACAGTAGAATAGTAAAGATCAGCTCAAAAGCCTTGTCTATGTTTAGCTTTACTACCACTAGATATCCCAGACAAAACTTTCAGCTCTTTTTCTGTCTTACATATGCCCTCCATAAATTGTAGAGCTGAATTGTAAGAAATTCTGTTACTTGCCTAAGCTCAGTAGTATTTTGAAAGGCATATCTTCTTTCAACAAAAAGAGAATGCCCTCAGTGCATAAACTTGTAAAAACCTTTGCCCCTCTGTGCTGCAGGTATAACAAAAGGAAGATTTGCAGACAGGGTTACAGTACTGTATGCACTCTAGAGGAATAAGAAAATACACCTGTGTAAGGAACAGAGATACTTACAGTGGTTGGGAAATAGCGACTGGTCTTGAATTTCTTCAGGGCCATAGAGCAGGTGTAGGTACCAAAGAAGAGGATAAAAGACATGAGGCTGATATCAGGTACATATTTGCAGTTATTGCCTACAAGCTGTCCTCCATATTTCAAACACTCCTCCTTTGCCAGAGATGACCAGTCAATAGTACTGTTGAACTAAAGAGGAAAGAAAACATCTCATGAAGCTGAGCTCTGTTATGTTAATTCATGAAAATAGCAACTGAAATGGAGAATCCTCTGCTACCAAGCTACAACCGAAGGATATGAATCTCTGCAGCTGTGTGCACCAATATAAGGCCATTGACTGGGTAGCAGGGGAACATCAACTGGGAAGTCAAAAGGGTATGCATTAATTAAACAGCAAGACATATTCTGAGCTCTCTAATATGGATTAAGTAGAAATGAAACCTTGTGCTACAGTCACTTTGCATAGCTCCTTGCAGTTACCCAGGAGGTGAAGAAATCTTCTCCAACAGGTTTTTTTCCCCACACGCAATGTACACTGTTGATACCAACTAATAAAACAAACACCGTCACTTCATCTATATCTTTTTCCACAGGGGTAGGAGATTGAACCCCTGCTCCTACCTCCACTAACAATCACTGTCAAGTTGGAAAAGAGAAGTCTGGAGAAGAGAAAAAACTGAGAGGAGATTTAATAGTGGCCTTCAAATACCTGAAGGATAGTTAAAGAAAGGATGGAGCTGCAATGTTCTCAGTGGTGGCAGATAACAGAACAAGGAGCAATGGTCTCAAATTGCAGCATGGGAAGTTTAAGTTACTTTCTCACTAGCAGGGTAGTAAAGCACTGGAGTAGATTACTGGGAGAGGTTGTGGGAATTCCATCCTTGGAGATTTTTAAGACTCAACTAGACAAAGCCTTCGTTAGAATGATCTAGTTGTGGATGGTCCTGCTTTGATCAGGGGGTTGGACTACACCTCCTAAGGTCCTTTCCAACCCTAATTTACTATGATTCAGCTTTCCTGTGTACTGACCAACACAGGTTAGGCTTTACTTACTGGCTAGCCTGGTGCAGAACCCAGTTGTATAGGTTGGCCTGAGACTGGACCTCAACCCTGGATTTTGTTGTCTCTTGCTCAGTCCGTTCTCCCGCCACCCACTCCTATCAAACTCCACTCCTACTACATACAGTACAACAGTAGCCTTTCAGTAAGAGAGTCCCTGGGCTCCTGCTCAGAGCAGACCCTGAGACTTCTTGGTGCATTTGAACAGTAAAAGGCTACTGTGTCAGAGCAGCTGTGGGTTGCATTGCAGAGTAGCACTGGTCTCTCGGTAACTGAATTATGAACCTTTCCTTCATACTGTTCTCAATTTTTATTGGCCTGGGCAGAAAATTAATGAGCTACTGAAGTATAATTAATTCAGATAAGTTGTAGTTCTACTGTTGGACTTGTAGACCCATGGCTGGGGGCTGGGCAGACTTATTATAGTGGTGACCCCTACTCACCATGTCAAAGCACCACCAAAGGATATATGTGGCTTTTCAAAAGGAAAGTATTGCCAGCTGGTGTCCTCACCACATTCTGGTGGTGCTGCCACTGTTTGGTCCATGACTGCTTATTCATCAGTTACCCCTGCTTAGTTCACAGCTAACCTTCCCTGAAAGTCACTGCACCATCTGCCACCTGTGGACACGATGGACAGCAGTACAGCTCTTCGCTGCAGGTGGAGGAGGTGGACGATGTTAAGACTCTCAATAGCTGTGAAGGCAGATGAAGGCTGCAGTTGAATGAGATCCCCAGTTGTCCTGGTCTCCTGTTCTGTCAAGAGCCATGTAGAAGCTGATGTGCAGCAGCTTCTCCACAATAAAAGAAGTCAAGCACAGGCATCTTCCATGAAAACAGTTTTTCCAGCACATTCGTCAAGTCCTTTGGTGACCAGCTAATGGAGACGGGAGCAGGATTGTGAGGTCTGGAAACTCCTAGTCATGAACTGGCATGAAGGCTGCTGTTACAAGGTCTTCTAGCACGTGGATGCAACAGGAGTGTGATTTGGCAGTTGTAACTATGACTGAGCAGCCCTCTTCAGGATCCAGTCTGCTCATGCCACATGAGGAGGAGACTAGAAAAAGTACCCTAAACATAGCCTTTCTACCTTCTTCCTGACTAAATAGCTGTATCCAGTAAGATCAGATTACCATTACTGAGGTAAAAAATACCAGCAAAGAGACACCATCATTTTCAGGACTTGGAACCACTGACAACCCTAATAGTCAATGTCCAGAGTGCCACACTGCAATTGTGGCCCAAGAACTCAGGGGACACTACACCAATGTAGCTCCATTGAGCAAGACCCAGCAAGCAGGAGATCGTCAGGTCAAAGAACATGGAGGAACTATACCTTCTTCTGAAACGGTAAACAGGAAGGAGAATGCCGACTTCACAGAGTTGGTATTGCCATTAAGAATGAACTCATAAACTAACTCAATCAGTTCCCTATCAAAATTAGTGAGCACCTCATGGCTCTCCGTCTTAAACGGGCAGAGACTCAATATGCTACAGTCATCAGCACATACACCTTGACTCTTGATGTCACCAATGAAACCAAGGAGGAATTTGACACCAACTTAACCAAATCCTTTCTGACATTCTGGAGGGAGGTAGACTTACTCTTCTTGGTGATTCCAATGCCAGAATTGGAAGGTATTCTAACCTCTGGAATGGAACCATCAACAAGGAAGGAGTAGGAAAGGTCAACTCCTCCTCTTGACCAAATGTGCAGATCATGGACTCACCATCACCAACACTCTGTTCTGCCAGAAAAACAGGTACAAAACATCACGGCAACACCCAAGCATGATACCTGATTGATTCTCGTCATCCATGCCTGGGATCACAAAGATGTACACATCACCTGAGCTATGCTGGGAGCTGATGATTGCTGCACTGATCACTGACTCATCCACTCAGTTAGATCACTCAAACTGGCTCCCAAACAATGGCTGCAAGAGAAGCAATGCCAATGGCAGGTCAGCATTGAAGGACTCAAGGACCCAAGCAAAAGAGACCTCTTCCACCAGTGCCTCAATGAAAAACTGGTAAATTCCAATCAACAACAATGGGAGAATGTCATCAGAATGTGCATAGCCCTCAAAGCCAGTGTCACCAGTGCCTATGAAGAGACATTTGTATTCTCTACCAGAAAACATCAAGACTGGTTTCACGAGAATAACTGGGAGATCCAAGAGCTGATCAATAACAAGTGCAAGGCCTTTTGTACTTGGCAAAATGACACCAACTCCAAGCAAAAGAAACTGAATCACCAACAAGCCGAGGCAGAGGTCCAAAGGAGGAACTGTGATATGAAGAATAAATTGTGGAAAGACAAAGCTAAGGAGATTCAACATCTCACTGACATCCATGATATGTGCCATTTCTTCAGTTCCACAAAAACCATCTATGGTCTGAGCACTTAGGAACTACTCCCTTGAGACCTAAGAATGGAGGAAACATGATCAAGGAAAGGGGAGCCATCAACGCCCATTGGAAGGAGCATTTTGAAGACCTTCTCAAAAAGAGACTCTGTTGTTGATGAGAGTGGCCTCAACTCCATCTTGCAACACCCAGTCAGAGATGATCCTGGAATCCCTCCAACCTTTGACAAGGTAAGGAAAGCCATCAAACAGATGAACAATGATAAGGCATCTGGAACAGATGGAATCCCCATAGAAATATTCAAGCAGGGAGGAGAGGAGCTCACATCATAGCTTCATAACTTCATCTTCAGGATCTGGAATGATGAAGGAATCCCAAACAACCTCAGATTGCCAAGACTGCCATGACTGTGACAATCTTCAAGAAAGGTGACAAGTTCAACTGTGGAAACTATAGAGAGATTGCCTTGCTGTCCACCCCATGAAAGACCATTGCAAGAACCTTCCTGAACCATCTCCTTCCACTTGCTGAAGAGCTACTCCTAGAAGCTCAGTTTGGGTTTAGAGTATCAAGAGGCACAACTGACATGATCTTAACAGCTCATCAGCTGCAGGAGAAATACCAGGAACAACATAAGCATCCCTACATGACCTTCTTTAACTTCACAAAAGCTTTCAATTCTGTCAGCTGAGAAGTGTTTTGGAGGATCCTTCTGAAGTACAAATGCCCACCAAAATTTGTCACTATTCTCTGCCTGCTCTATGACTGTATGCAAGCAGTGGTTCTCAGTAATGAATCTATCACAGATCCCTTTGAGGTTAAAATGGGAGTTAAGCAAGGCTACATCATCACTCCAACACTCTTCTCAATATTCTTTCCCATGATCCTATATCAGACCACCAACAAGCTTCCAGCCAGAGTGGAGCTAAACTACCAAATGGATGGTAAGCTGTTTAACCTCAGCCAACCCTGAGCCAAAACCAAGACCAAGCTGACCACAATCATTGAGCTCCAGTTTGCTGATTCTGTAGCATGTGCTCATTAGGAAGCAAACTTTCATGCAATTGTCAATGTCTTTACCAAGGCATACAAAAAAATGGGACTCAGACTTAACATTTGGAAGACTAAGGTCCTCCACCAACAAGATCCTAATGAACAGTCCCCAGTTCCAGTAATCGAGATCCATGGTGAGACTGTGGAGAACTTTGAGTATTGCCCGTACCTCGGAAGTCATCACTCACAGAAGGCTGACATTGACGAAGAAATCCAACACTGCATCAAATGTGCAAAGGCAGTCTTTGTACCTCTGAAGAAACGGATGCTTGAAGACTGCGACATCAGATCCAAAACCAAGTTCATGGCTTATCAAGCAGTCATGATCCCCACCTTACTGTACGGAGCTGAGACATGGACAACGTACAGGAGATATCAAGTTGTTGGAAAAGTACCAGCTGCCTCCAGAAGATTCTCCGAATCCAGTGGGAAGACAGACTCACCAATGTTAGCATCCTCTTGCAAGCAAACACCATGCATATTGATGCAATGATTAGCCTCCTGAAGCAAGTTTTATTCTCCCAGCTCAGCCAAGGCATATGCTAAAGAGGAGGGCAGAGAAAGTGCTTCAGGGATGTCCTCAAGACCAACTTTAAAAAATGCAACATCGATGTCAACTCATTAGAGAGTATTGCCCAGAACCGCCCCAAATGGAGGAAGAGTCTGTTAAGGGATCTCAGTACTCTGAAACCTCAAGACAGTAACAG